CAAAAGGGCACCCAAGAAAGTTAGCAAAGCTTTAAATTTGTAAATAAATGTAAATAAAACTGTGAAAATATTGTCTTTGTTAAAATTTATATGTTTATATGTATAAACATGTGATGCTGGAAAATTTGGTGATCAAAACAATTGACACCCAAATTAATCACTGAATTAGGTCTTCCATTATCGATTGTTGATAGAGCTGAATTCAAAAATTTTATGAAAACAGTTGATAAAAAATACAAAGTGCTTAACAGAAGAAACATTTGTCGCGAGTCTTTACCAAAATACAGTGAAAAAATAATGAAAAAAATAAAAGACATATGTATGAAATCAGATTACTTGAGCTTAACGCAAGGGGGAAAAAGCGGACTCCTATGGACTCCTGAAGTCCAGGAGTCCAAGCGCAAAGTGTTCTTTTTTGGAATCACTGCCCCAAAAATGGACACTTTGCACATGGACTCCTGGACTTCAGGAGTCCATAGGAGTCCACAGGAGTCCATACGAGTCCGCTTTTTCCCCCTTGGCTTAACGTTAGATATGTGGACTGATAGAAGGTTAAGAAGCTTTTACGGTATTACTATGCATGTTGTTATTGATACTAAAGTAGAATCATACTTATTATCATTCTAAAGGTTAGTTAGTCTTGAAATCTTACACAGAAGTCTTTCTTTTTTATTTTGAGGGAAGAGATGCTCGGCCTCTGTTTGAAGGACGCTGACAGATACTGGCTTTGGTGCGGATTTAATTCTTAAAGGTACCGTATGGACTCCATACGGTGTTGGTCGTCATACAGCTGTTAATATACTGAATGAGTTTGATAAAGTTATAAAACACTACAATATTGGAAAAAAGATTGTTCGAATTGTTACGGACAATGCGTCTAATAATTTAGCTGCTTTTAATAGTTATGATCTACCGGGTTTTGAAGAAATTGATTTAGCCGAAAATGACGAAGTTTTAGGATCAGATCGAAATGATGATGAGATTGATACGGATATTGATGACAACGGTTTCAACTGTGCTCCTGATGACGCATTTACAAATAAAAATGATAATGATATAGTATATATAGAACTGATGGTCACTAGTGGGACACTGCAAGACACACAACAACCCAAACCAACTCAGACATTTAGTTATATATGTTGAGTGCAGATATGACAACCAGTAGATATGACAAACGAAATAAATTATGCATGACCTTGCTTGAAATAAGCGCTTGAATATCCTGAGAAATGCGCATGAGCGTACTCAAAGGTGATGAGTTTTCTATTCATCAAATTAGTCTCATTTTCTGTCTACAAGACCAGGATTGCCAGCCGAAACTTTTCAAAATCAAAGGAAAATCCTGAAAATCAGGAAACCAAAGTGATTACATATTAGAAGAACTATTATTCAAGAACTATGATGGTATTCATATGTCTATCTAGATCGCTCTTTTCTCCATCATGAACGGATATGTCATTGTTACAGGTAAAACACCTTGCTTTAGTTTTCATCGCGATCAATTGTTTGCAAGAAATCGAAATATTTATCTTTCAATCAGTCTTTGTTAAAAGCATTCTTGTCTTTTCGCCGTATTCTTTATCTTATTTCCTTTGTTTCGAACTAATTTATATTGAGATTCACTTCTCAAAACCCCAACTATAGCCGACGAAAACATCAAAATGTAATCTAAAAATGCTGACAAATGAACTCAGGTCAAAAACCTTGAAGAACTAGTATTGAAGGCAGGATTTTGCTAGTGAGAGCGAGCGGTGCCTCAAGATTTTTCAAAGAAACAGAAAACCAGAAATCAGAATCTCGCTGTTATTGAACGCTTCTTCTTGCAAAGTAAGGACAGGTTTTGCAATACAGAATCGGAAAGATCCGAGTCTTCCGTAAGAATTGGATCAAAATATTGTTTATTTAATTAATTTATTATAAAATATTAGTTCAGAATGGAGTGAATTATAAAATGTTGAATACAAGGAACAAAATAAGTCAGTAGAGTCGAGTACTCCAATCTACTACTGAGAATATCCACAGTTTACACCGCACATATTTGTGTAAAAAAGCAGTGTATTTTTACGATATTTTTGGAAGCTGTACTGTATATGGACAGCTTTTTATGAATCCTTTGGCGGAATCGTAGACTTGTTGTGGTTTGACAGGTGTGTCTGTTGTCAATGGAAATGGATTTGTGTTAGTTATATAGTTGAGAAAGGCAGCATGTCGAGCTTCAACTGAAATTGAAAAAGATTTTGGTTATAAGCAACTGTGTTGTTCTCTAAAAGTGGAAATAATCTCTTCAATTCTTGTAGGTGCACTTTTTACTAAAGGGCTAGTAATATTTGATCATGACATTTGAATTTATAGTCGCAAGAGTAAAGGTAACTGGTTACTGGTTAGAAATATCAGAGTATTGTCGATTATAATGTTCACGATGTTTTGAAATACATATAATTATTTACCTGTTGCAATTGTTGCTGCAGCTTGGACCAATGGTCTAGATGAGAGAGCCTTTATAACACCATCATACGCTGTT